TGTGTGCATGTGTGCCAGCCTATGCCCATGTGTGTGTGCATGTGTGCCAGCCTATGCCCATGTGTGTGTGCATGTGTGCCAGCCTATGCCCTTGTGTGTGTATGTGGTGTTTGTGTGCATGTATGGAGGGTGTGCGTCAAGAAGACGGGCTCCCAGTAGGCAGGCGTTTGTGTGCTAGTGTGAAATTCCCCATGCCTGGCTTCTTAGCTCGGTTTATCAGGTCATGTGTTCTCAAATTTGTCTTGGGGTTGAAACACCTTTTTGGACTCCAGCATTCTTTCATCCTGAAAGAAGAGGCCAGCTTTGTGGATCGTGTCCCGGCCTACGACTTTCAATTCCCACTGAAAGAGAAGCTGGATGGTGGGTCAGACGCAGACAATCGGGGGGGACACCACACGAGGGACACCCTATACCAGGAATCGGCAAACTTTTTAGAGCAAGGGCCACTAAACATTTTTTTTTACTCACCTTGCTGGGCCATCTGAGTGAAATCCTCTAGCCGATAAACTCACCGACTGGACTAGGTGGCGTTTCTCCGGGCACATCTCCTCCGTGTCCTCTTGCATACACTGCTGAATAAACTCCCCGTCCGTGAAGGGTTTCCCAGCTGCTGCTAGAAGCTGTGATACTCGATAACTAGTTCGAGGGAGCTGCGGGCCACTCAGAGAAGTGCAGGGGGCCGGATTTGGTTTGCCGACCCCTGCACTATACAGTCGTTACCGCCCTGGCCGTCAGGCCTCACTGCTAAATGCGTTTCCCAATACGAGAGGGGGTGAAAGGTACTCTGTGCTGTCCGCAAACTTGGAAGCCCAAGCCTTGTTGGAAGGGGGTTGTGTGATGTAGCAGTAGGGATTTTGCGCTTTACTGCTGATTTCCTGGCACTGCAGATGCCCTCAGTGTTGACTGACAGCTCTCATTCAGCTTGCCAAGGTCTGATGCAGCACAAAGGCCAGCTGTTGAAGCGGAGAGGCTCTGAGCCGCACTTTCCGAGCAGGGAAGGGGGAATGCAAGGTGGTCACATGCCTGTGGGATGTTCTAACATTTACCATCTGTTAAGGCAGAGCTTTCACAGAGAACTGTATCAAAAGCTCAAGTCAGGCGCCCCGGAAGAGACAAGCCGTGTGCCAGAGGGTGCACCCTCGTGCCCGTTCCTCCTCGTACAAACATCAGGCTGCTCTTTAGCCTCTTTGTTAGGCTTCCAGACCCAACAGTAGAGCCCACTCTTTACCAGGTTCACCAGGTCCATGGGGCCATGTGTCTTTGCCTTCTCGGTAGCATTGGCCCAGGCTGGCCGCTGCCTGGAAAACACAGAGATTTGTTTAAAGGAACATGAATGCAAAAATTATAGGAAAACTAAATAAACTGCATTCAGGAGATGGTGGGGCATAAATGAGGCCCACAAAGCAATACAGCAATGTCGAACGGGTTGGAGCAGCATCATATCAAACTTCACAGACATCCTGTGTGTCTCTCTCCAACTCTGAGCTTCCTGAGAGCTACTCACCTATCTTACGCATCCAGTATAGGATGGGCCACTGCAGCAAAATCCCAGTGCCTGTATCTGGTCAATAGAGACACTCCCATCAGAGCCCTTACAGAGGACAGGGAAAAGAAAATGGGACAGAGCAGATTAGCTGCCAAAGGTCCAATATAACCAAGGTACGTTTCTGTTAATTTTTTCATATTTCTTTCTCAGAACTCTACTGCCCCGAGAGCACATCAGAAGACACTGTGGCCGTTTCCCAGCATTCTTGCCTCAGAAAAAAACAACAACAATAAAACAATACAGAACGAATCCAGCATAAACAAGTGAAACACTGCCCTTGTTGTTTCCTGGGTGTCATTAATCATCACAATCCCACATCTGAGCTGGCTCTTGGTGATAGGCCACATGAAAGGCTAGATCAAGCACAGCACAACCAGGGAAGAGAGACCAGAGCTGTCAACCCCAGCCCCCAGAAAGCGAGTGGCACACAGGGAAGCTGCAGAGGAAAGGTAACTGCCTTGCTCACAAAATCAGGTCTGAATCCCATACCGCCACATGGACTGATGTTTTTGCTCGACTGGGAGGGCGGCATGGCTGAACAAGCACCGGATTATCAGGTGAACCCCCCATCCCCTCCACCCCCAGGTTTCCAGATCCCCACCTCCACGGCCAGTGTTCCAGATCAGCTCCAGCTGCGAGTCTCCTTCGACTCGGGGCTTTGCAACCCTGAAAAAAGGGAATTGACAAGATTAATTCCCACAGTTCCTTCTCCTCCTCCAGGAACCATGGTCCAAGGCAACACAAACGGCAGCTAAGTGTGTGCATGTGTGTGTGTTTGTGCAGGAGAGGGAACAGGACACATTTACCCAGCCCTCCTGTGGATGTTGATTCTCTAGAATCTCCCCGAGATAATCAGCTTGTAACCTCCAAACACAAAGATGGGCTACAAGCGCCTCCTGTTATGAACTCCTGTGTGATCTTCCTTCTTTAATTTCCTGTAAACTTTTGGCTGTGTTCTTACAGGTCTCGCGCCAAGATTCTAGCCTTTTGAAATTACACTGAAGTAAAGTGCTAGACAGCAGAAAAGGAACTATCTCACTGGCTCCCAGTTAAAAGCATCTGCCTTGTGACTTGCACTGTTTCTTCTCTTGCTGATTTTATAAACCACAGTTGTGGGCCCTATGTATAGACAGGTGTTTGCAGATTAGTCAGATGGATACTTGAAGGTGTCAATTACCTGGCCTACCATTCGGCAGATAAGGAGCTGTAGATGGAACTGGAATAGCTATGGCATTGTTAGTCTCAGATGTAATCATCACTTGCTAATATAATTGCTAATAACAATATTAGTGGTGCTGTCCTTTTGGAATTTGACATGTCTGTTTAACACTGAGAAATTGGTCAAACAGTGCTGTAGAAATAGTGGATTGTGTTTAGGTTTTGTAGCTAAATGAAACTAAAATGTCATCTAATTAAAAGTGTTGATAGTCCAGACCTCAATCACCTGACAGAGAAGCTTTTTCCAAACACCCATAACTCTTTGTGTAAAGAAGCATTTACTGTTTTCCCACTTGTGACCATGTGCACTTGTTTGACTGCAGAGTATTGTACTTCCCTACAGTAACCATGTGTATCCACCCGAGGATCCCTTAACCTGTCCACTATCGACAGTCCCCTGAGACCAGTAATTATTCCAACTGCTCTTTTTCAAGCTCTTCTAAGGCCACACTATTTTTGTTGTGATATGGTGACCCAGCAAAATCCAATATAACAGTCTAGGTGAGGTTTGTGCTTTGTAAAGCACTGGATTAAAAAGTTAACACTCTTTGCTCTGCACCCAAGTATTCTCAAAAAAGTTTTTTTTCCTTCCCTACATTGTCTTGATGCTTACATTAAAGAATCTACATAAACATCCAGATCTCTTTTGTGTGTAGCTTCCTGCAGTTCACAATGACCTACATGATTTGTAAAGTTTGTGCTCCTGCTACAAGAGTTGAGCACTTGGCACTTACCATTTGTTAAACTGAATCTGCCAAGTGTCTGCATGCTCCATGATTTTGTCTGTGGCTCTGTGTAAAAAAAGAGCTGATGCGTGAGATGGCGATTATGATTTTTTATGATCATACATATTCACAATTATCATATCATATGATTATCAGCAGTTGTGCTTCTATCTTACAAGAAATCTGGGTTTACAGGACTAGGCAGAGAAGAAATAAGGCAAGGTAAAATGAATAGTCCTTTTGTCCCGACAAAAATCCCAGTCAATGCATAGCTGTATAGTAAATAGAAACAGAAAAGGCATTTCTTTAAAAGTGGCTCTTTCGTTTGGACAGTCACCAATACCCATACCAAAAAGGACAGGTAGTGATTTTTTTCTAAATGAAGCAGTTCTTACACAGTTGAAGATTTGACTTTCCAATAACCTTCATCAGTACCTTGAAATGTGCACGGTTCTGAGCAGCAGGTAATAACTAATAAGATGGAACTGAGCCCATCATGAGCTCAACTGAGGCCTGATTAAGTCAATGACAGCTCGTGCAGAAGCTCCAGCTCCAAGCCTCCTCCTTTCTGACCTTAGACCCTCTTCCACAGCATCCTGAGCACAGCTACCATGGAGATGACCCTCTGTACTGGGATTTGGGAAGGAAATCCCAGTATTCTTCCCCTCTGACAGGAAGTGCTTTCAATCAGTGGCTTTGTGATATTAATGGGTCTTCTTCTCAATTTATTGTTTTTCTTTTCTTTTAATAGCATCAGAGCTGAGAAATGTGTTTATAAATAGCACAGTGCTGGAAAAGGAGCAGGGTGTCTCCTGCAGTAGTTTCATGGTAACAGACATGCATTGTTAAAAGTCTTTCTTTTTTGAAGTGGTCAGTGACTGTGTGGAAGCAGAACCTGCTTGATCATGCACAAGGCAAGGGTGTGCCCCCCCAGTATTGTAGCTGCAAGGTGCAAAATGTTCAGAAGTTTGTTAACGCAGAACTACAGCGACGTACTTCTTTAGCCTGTTCAGTTCCCAAAGCTGCCCACCAGTTCAGTGCTTATCAAGTTCCGCCCATTGCAAGCTCAGTGGTCACAAGGTGATAAGGGGACAGGCTTTGCCTATCAGTGCCTTATATGCCATGAAACTGGTGGGAAATTTCTACACTTTTAGCTTCATAAATAAAAACACAAGAAACAGTAGGAAAGAGAAAAGGAGCAGCTTGGTGGTAGGGCATTTGGTGCTGCCACCCCGCAGCTCTGAGGTCCTGGGTTCGATTCTACACTGCAGCACATTCTGTGTGGAGTTTGCATGTTCCTCATGTTTCTCCAAATGTTCTTTTTTTTTCTTCTCCCACCTGTCTAAGATACACTGGAAGGGTGAATTGGTGCCTTCCCTGTTTCCCTGTGTGCATGTGAGTATCCCATCCCAGTGAGGGTTTCTTCTGTGGGAGAGTTTCTGCTGAGTTTCCACCTGTGATCCTCAACAGAACTAAGCAGGTTCCTGATGATGGATGATGGGAGAGAAGAAGGTTTTGCCCCTGACAACCTGGCTAGGTACGTAGCTCCAGTCACCCATGGGTCATTGTCCAAAGAAATGCCTTTCATCAGTGTTAACTGTATCTGTTCTTAATTTCACTTTTTTCCTCTTAATAACACATACACATGCTCTGGTGTAAAGCACTTGAGTTTGGGCATAACCTGTGAGTTAACACTGAAAATGTCAGTCCAAATACAAACTACCTTGAACACTGTAAGCATGAGTCTCTTAACAAGAACAGGCTCAGTGCTCTCTGAGCTCCTCAGATGGATTTTACCCTGAAACCTGAGGCTCTTTTCTCCTTGTCAGGATCAATAATCCGGCAGTCTTTTTATCCATTTTGGGAGGCCTGTTGAAAAGCAGTGTTTATGCGTGTAATTATGAACAAAGTGTTGTCTGGAGGCCTGTGTGCTCTGCTGAAGCTGACCGCGGTTCATACAGTGGCCTCTGTATCTTGGAAAATATCATCAGGCTGTTACTGGGTCACAAGACTGCGCCTCATGTGACTGCAGGATCTGCCAGTCCAAACAGTATCCTATACAGCCATGCTCTATTGCCAGAGCACATATCTCGAAAGCTACACATGTCTGCCTTTGTACACACTGTCATAACATTAAGCAAGGCTCCAAACAGAACAGGCAAGAAGGTTTAGAGACTAACCTCTGCAGCTTCTAAAACTAAGAATAGATTGCATTTAAATAAGGTGCAGGAATCCCTTCGTTGATGCTAGATTGGCTTCTGGACTGAACTCAAAACTCAGATGCCTAAGGAATTGCATGCCGAAAAAAAGAGAAGAAAAGAAACACAACGTTTCGGCTGTGGGGCCTTCTTCAGGCGTAAAGAAGAGGCAGGTGTGTCTGCAGGCTTTCCAGGCCAGGAGGCCCCAGTCCTGTTCCTGGTGGCGCCCCACAGCTGCGTGGTTTCATTACAGCTATCCTCTGTACTCTGTACTCTGTACAGGTGGCTCAGCTGCAAGCTTTGCAATTCGTTTTTTTTTTTTCTGCTCAGATGCTGGAGATCTTAGGTCACGAAATTAACGCAGTAGTCAAAAAGGCAACCTCATACATATTTAGGAGCTGAGAACAGTTGAACAGCTGAGATGAATTAAAACTGTTGCAATAATAATAAAAGTAAAGGGTTCAATGAATAACTTGCTTGTTCTGTCAGGTGGAACACAGACCAGCAGGTGTGGGATCCCAGCACCAGCATTGGGAACCCCTGATCTAACACTGGGGTTCCCAGACCTGTTCCTCAGGAGCCCCATCCTCCTGCTGGTCTGTGTTCTAGCAGAGCTCTTCTGTATGAGACTGACCATCTTAAGTGATCTAATAAAACAATTAAGTGGGCTCCTTGCTTTCAGCCCTGAAGCATGTTGGACTGGAAGCAACAGAGCCAGTGCAAGGGTGGCAGGGAATAACCCCAGCTGGAGGGTGGAGGTCCAGAGAGAGGTCAGCAAAGAGTGCAGCTCATTTTGAAGAAGTAGGACTAAGTTAAAACTGTGCTGGAATTTTACCCGTTTTGAACATTTCTTCCAGGCGGATGTAAATCCCTGAACGTGTCATCACGTTGACCGACAAAAGGTTATTCCAGTTTGCCACTGGAGTTGGGCAAGTATTGCAAATATACATATAATGGTAATTATTCTCTCTCTCTCAGTTCACTTCAGTTCAAGGTGCTTTATTAGCATGACCGATGGGTACAATCAGTGTTGCCAAAGCAAATGAAAGTAATGATATTTATATTAAACAAAACAAAAAATAAAAGTAAAATAAAATCTATAGACATATTACAGACATTTACAACAAAGACATATTATAAAATATTGACATATACTGTAGGCGGCTGGAGCATTATTGGGAGACAGACTCACTGTTCCTCAGGCTGTTCCCCTCTCTCTCTCTCTGTAGAAGGCTTTAAAAATATGTTTTTGAGCTAATTTCGTCTACTCACAGCTTTGGCCTCCGGGGAATGCTGTAGTTCTTCTTAACGGGATCTTTAAAAGACTGCGGCGATAACGACAGCTGACATTTATTGCCGATTATGAAAACTTGTACTGAGCCAGCCACTTAGGGGCAGCACAAGGAGGCCCATTTTATTCTCTGCCAGATAGGCTCATGTGCCTTATCTCGGAGGTATAAACCGTATCATTCTATTCACGCCGGAATCGTTTAATCAGTCCGCTCCGCGCCTCCTCCGGCCGGGCGGACACGCGTGGAAGTGGGGTTGGCTTTCAGGAACGCGGACCCAAGCGTGACCCACGTTTTTGTCGCGCTAGGGCTGACGTAGTGGGGGGTTCATTGGTGCGGAAAAGAGGATTACATCGGACATGGAGATAGACGTGGAGATTAAAATTAAATGGTGTTTTGGGTCAAAACCATACGCTGCTGCCTGTAGTTTCAGTCCAGTGGATCTGTTGTTGTGCAGAGATGCCCGTCAACAGGCCGGCGTCTCCACACAGGTCTTCTTATACACTCCCAACTTCCGTCTACAGTTAAGAAAGTAAAATTAAATACATTTGCCTAACATGTTTTTTATGAATATAAATCTAGAAGAACTACATGACAGCAGTACGCTATTTGGGTGCATTTTGTTATTTCTGAAAATGTGACGTTTCCCGAAACAATTTGTACGGTAAATTTGGTAAAATTGGAACTAAAATTGACCTATTGGGATATTCTGTTGTCCGTGCTGTGAAGATCGATAAACTGCCGTCGACTGGGTACCGTTCGCCTGCGGCATAAATTTAATGACGATTTCCTTGATAAGCAACTTTCTTAAGTTCGGCTCTTAGAATCAGACGGAAAATTGTTGACAGTGAAATACTGTTAACCTGTCCCTCTACACGTGTTAAACGGTGACTTGTCAGCGCATTTCTAACATTTCTCCTCTGTGGCTCAGATTTCAAAGCAGCGCAGGGCTGTTTATTAAGGTATAAATCCATCCAGCCATTCGGTGAGTCACTTATTCATGGTCATAACGTGGTTGTCATGGTTATAACAACTCAAGAGCATCCCGTAAAGATGTGCTGTCGTGCGGCTCCTCTATGCTGGAAACATCATCTCACCCTGGGTCTCTGCCATCTAACTCGGGTGCTCGGAGGGACTGAAGGGCATCGAGGATGAATTGCGTTGCGTTGGAGGCAGTGGAGAGCTAGGTTTAAAGATTTTCGTGAAGAACTGCGAACAATGAAGCTTTTTATGAAATGTCACTTATCAGACCGACCGTTAAAACCGCTAAAAAAGCTCTCTGGGATAAACAGTGTATAATCTGTTAGGTTTTCGTGAAGCAAACACTGATTACCTTTGCACGGTTTAATGCGCTCTTACGGTGTAATCCTTGTTTCCTTATTTACATACCATCCGATCGTAACGTGCAAAAAAAAAAGAACAGATTTTCTTGTTGTTCCTATTGCGACAAAGTCGTTAGGATATTTACAGCATGTGGTATACAGACTCCTGAGAGCCAGAATGGAGTTGACGACGGAAGGTCGGCGGGGGGCAGTGACAGCAGGCAAATTCACTTCCACCTCGCACTCAGTCTGACGTC